TTGGTTTTTCGAGACAGGGTTTCTCTGTGGTTTTGGAGCCTGTCCTGGAACTAGCTCTTGTAGACCAGGCTGGTCTCGAACTCAGAGAGATCCGCCTGCCTCTGCCTCCCAAGTGCTGGGATTAAAGGTGTGCGCCTCCACTGCCCGAAGGATCCTATTTTTAATACCTCACCTTAGGAAACACAAGTAAGATTTTACTGAATATTAACAAATTTCTCAATTTGAAAGTCAAATTATCAATGAACATATTAATCTTGGAAACCGTTTTTAAAATTTTCTTAAAGCAAAAATACTCCTTTAAATAGAAGAAATTGTTGAGCTGCAATTGTAGCTCAGTGGTGCCCTGAGCATAAGCAAGGTGCTACAACTGACCTCAGCACTTCAAAATGCCATTTGTTACTTCAAATAAAATATGCTACTTCATTTTTCTGTTTTGCTTAATTCATATATTCTGGAAGTTAACTTCTTCCTGAATATATATGTACATATATATGTTTATGTGTATGTATATATATTTATATATACACAATCATCCTACATTTTAAAACAAGCTGTCCTCAAACTCATACAGTCACATTTTGACTTCCCTATTTTTTGATTACCCTAAACTACTTTTCAAATATCAAATCAATTCTTAAATCAACTGCTTAATATTTTAACACTAACAGTGCTATAGAAATATCACTGCAAACCTATATAGTGAATATTAACAGTAGATCCATATTTATAGCACAACATTCATAACTATACAGTATTTTAGCTAACCCCTATGATCTGGTATAAACAAGTGAAAATAATAATAGTAAAGAATTAGTATTAATAGAAGTAGAGACAAGTCTTTTTCAATGAAAACAATAACTTATTAAACAAATTTTTGAGCATTTCTGCGCACAAAATAACATTCTAGGTGCTATGAATATACACCGAAGAATATAAAACATATTCAAATGAATACAAATAAGATGTGTTTATATTGACCAAGAAAGAATCATTAGGTCAGTCAAAATCAGAAATGTTAGTTTAAGTTTCAAATTTCACTAGAATGTAGCCCATTAATTTAAATGCCATGTCTCACAAATTGCTATTTCTACCAAAAGGGTTAAAATTATATGTGAATTCTAGAGTCAGTGAATAGAACAAAAGTGATGCAAAGATTAGGAAAGTTCAGAAACAGTGATTACCAACAGCAGTTCTTTGAGCACTATATACTATATAAAATAAATTGAAAATACATACCATAGCAAACACTTCAATACATGGCACATTATTAAAGCACATACACACAAAAACAATCTAAAATTGATACATCTGTGTGCAAGGCAAAGGTTTATTGATAGTACAGTAGGATTGTTTCCACAGAAAGTATCTGTAGAAAACATTAGACATAAAATTAGGTATCTGCTGCTACTAGAGGTGGGAATGTAGTACATAGACATCTGATACTACAGATAACCTACAATCCTAACTATGATAGAGCTTGGGTAACTTTATCTTCTTTATTTCAGTATTTTCCAATTAGTAAATATTATACAGCTAAAGTTCAAATGATGCTATTAAGTGACAGAGGTACATACTTAAATATATTTTCTTTTTCAAATATAAAATTTTTCCATTAATATCCATGAAACAATCTATTCTTTAGAAACACTATCAAGAAATGTTCATTCAAATCTGGCAGTGGTGGCACATGCCTTTTACTCCAGCACTCAAGGGTCAGAGGCAGGCAGATCTCTGTGAGTTTGAGGCCAGCCTGGTCTACAGTGGTAGTCCAGAACAGCCAAGGATACACAAAGAAACCCTGTCTCAAAAAACCAAAAAACAAAAAAAAAAAAAATGCTGGGTGGTGGTGACACATGTCTTTAATCCCAGCCCTTGGAGGATCTCTAGGAGTTCCGGACAATTTTGTCTACAGAATGAGTTCCAGGACAATCAAAGCTACGCAGGAAAACTCTGTCTCACAAAAAAAATATATATATATATATAAAAATATGAGACAAGCATGTGATCAGGTATATTTAGCACATAGTTTTAATCCCAGTACTTGGGAAGTAGAGGCAGGAAGATTTCTGTGGGCTACATAGTGAGTTCCAGATCAGCAAGGGCTATCTACTGAGACCCTATCTAAAAAAACAACAACAAAAAAAAAAAAAACCTTTTAACAATTTTTATTTAACAACTTGTAATTTTACAACTTGCTCAAATGCATTATCATTGAAATTGGCCAAAATGAAGAATTTTAGAAAAAATTTACTATACAGCTGGGCATGGATACTTATAAATTCTATAACTAGGAAAATTGAGACCACAGGTATATTACACCTTCATATACATATATACACACACAAATGAATACTTACAGGGACATATCCCATAATCACACACAAATGGGAAGGGGTATATCTTAGCATTACCAATGCCCTTTAAAGTATTCTTTTAAAGCTCTCTGTACCATATCCACAAAGATACAAGAAGCATGGGCAAATCCTTATCATTTTTTCACTACTTCTGACATTTTGATTTGTCCGCAATACCTCAGCAGAAATCTTGCATTATTCTCCCTATACAAAGATCACAGACATTAAGATACATCTGGTTGGACTGTCCAATTATGTTACAAAGATCCAGTCCAATAGGGTCCTACAGAAGACTACCCAGGACAATAAGTCAAATATATGCTGATATCACAGTGTCCAAAAGAGTCATCACTCTTGCTGGGCACCCTTCTCCACTGTTGGTATCTGCTGCTTGAAGATATTCATGGTGAAATAAGAGGACAGCTGGTAAAAGACAGGCTGTTATTGCTTGAAGAAGTATCTGCTTCCCTGTCGTAGAAAAACCTTCAGGTACCATCCAGGAACCTTAGGGAGAAAGAAAGGGAAGAGTACGTAATTAATGTCATTGCTACACAGCATAAGTGATAAAATTGTCCTTTAGTTCCTAAGTTCTTTGTGCTTACCAAAAAGGACTCAAACAGTATTTGTCCCTTTACCACAAAACAGATAACCCCTGGGAAACAGATAACTAAAAGATTTCAGATCAACTTAAAGTGTAATTACATTATATTCTTTTTATTTTTTTGGATAAAGCAAGAAAGATGTTGACAGATTATATAAAGACTTGAGTAAACCACAAGTATAACTGAAATGCAAGCTATACATCTAATAAATCTACTTTCAAAACACAATGAGAAACAAAAGCTTACATTTATGTTTTACCTTTTTTAATTTTATCTTTTGTTACATTATTTCTCTCCTCCCCACCCCCGTGTGTGTGTGTTGCACATGTGAGTAGAAGGCAGAGGATAGGTCCATCTTATAGGTGCGAGAGATCAAACTGAAGTAGTCAGCCTTAGCAGCAAGCATGCTTTTCCACTGAGCCATCTCTTTGGCCCCTACTTTTTACAATATTTAAACAAGAAAATTGTTGCTGAAAATATATAGTGCTTCTGAGATAAAGACTTTTAAGACCAGCTCTTTTATCCATTCTCTTTGTCTTGGATCAAGCAAAAGGTAACCACACAAAATATTATCTAAACCAGAACGTTTTTTGAATTAAATATAAAGGTATTAGTAATATGCCTGGACAAAAAGCATAAACTAAGGCTTTTCTAGGCAAATATAAAGTCAGTTGTCTAAAAAAATCCTACACATACAAACCATGGTATGTTATGAGCATCAATCAAGTAGATGCTCCCTACAATATCTGGCATAAGCTCTCTATATACACTGGGTTACTCAACATCTAGAAATTTTCCCTCTCAATAAGGTTTAATAGCCAGAGTCCTGTCCTTCCTTTTTCAAACAATATATTTTTATCAGCAATGAATGAAAATAAAACTTTCAAAAATGTGTTTTTTTAAAAAACTAATACATGAAAATCACTTTCTTACAACCAGCAATACACTGTCTAGAAATATAATGGACAACGGTATCTCCAAAATTATCATGAATTTCATACGTTTTCCCACTGACCACCCAACTATTAAAAGCTCTTAAACAAAGAACATCTCCTACATTCATAAATAAATAGCTGTTATAATCCCCAAAGAGAGTTGCATACATACCATCAGTTACAGAAATGCTTGCAATAAGGTTCCCTCTCAGTTTCCTCCTAGGGCAAATTTCCATCTCTCAAGCAGCAAGTTCTTCAGTTCTTCAGAGTTCATCTCCTTGCTATTCAGCAACAGTGATCCAGTAACCATACAGGTGTATTAAGTGACAGCTGTCAACATGAAATGCCGGGACTCTACCAATCTGTTTCCCCAACTCTGCAGTGACGTGTATAAGGGTCACAAATGGTCCTCTCACTCACAAAAACCCTTGTATTCTTTCAACATACTTACATTCGTGTCTAGATAAAATATTAGCACATTTGGACCAACTCACTCTTGTCAACCACAGTTTTTCAGAAAGTAGTGAGTATATATTACAGACTTAAATTTTAGGAGGAAACAGATTAAGGCTTTACCTGAAAAAGCAAATTAACAACTTGAAGTTTCATTAAGTCATGAATTCTGGCAGAGAATTTCTATAGTTACAATATAAATTATATGTTTACACATGTTTTAGTGTAAAGCCAAATAATTACTATGGCATAAGAAATAGCACACCAAACATATTTCGTATTAAACTCACAAAGAGCTATGTTTCTTTTTTTATAATTTATTTATTTTTATTTTATTTGCATTGGTGTTTTGCCTGCATGTATGTCTATCTGAGGGTGTCAGATCTTGGAGTTACAGACAGCTGTTAACTGCCATGTGGGTGGTAGGAATTGAACCTGGGTCCTCTGGAAGAGCAGTCAGCACTCTTAACCACAGAGCCATCTCTCCAGCCCCCAAAGAGCTATGTTTCTATGAATTCTTGTGTTGTGGTCATAAGTGTCTATAATTAAAATTATATGTGCATGCTGCATGATAAATAAAGACTAAAATGGTGCTGCTTTTAGCTGTTTCTGTTGACAATTTAAATTTTAAAAAAAAATGAGCATACTTGAAAAATTGTTCACACAAACCTACTTTTCAAAACCTTTGAAATAGATTCAAGTACTAAACTAATACAATTTGTAGTGCAGGGAACAGTCGATAAACTCAGAAAAGAACGCATTTGCAGATATTTCATTCTGAACTTTTATTCCAATGAAAAATAAATCACTAATTAATAATAATTGCTAAGAATATACTGATATCTTCAAAAGAGAAGTTCCCCTAACTCTATGAAAGCATCTGGTTTTTTTTACTGGGCCAACTCAAGAATGAATTCAAGGCTTAAAGTTATAAACAGGAATCACCAGTGAAATCAAAAGAGATCTAAGAAATAATGTCAGGCCAGGCGGTGGTGGCGCACGCCTTTAATCCCAGCACTCAGGAGGCAGAGGCAGGCGGATCTCTGTGAGTTCGAGGCCAGCCTGGTCTACAAGAGCTAGTTCCAGGACAGGAACCAAAAGCTACGGAGAAACCCTGTCTCGAAAATTCAAAAAAAAAAAAAAAAGAGAGAGAGGAAAAAGAAATAATGTCAGTATACTATGTAAGTGAAAGCATTACACAACTATCAAGCCCAGCAGAAAATCAGGCACTGAAGATGCATTTTTTAAAAGCCATTTGGACAAATGAACCTGAGCAAAATAAGAAGAGTCACAAAAATACTCATCCTTTCTGAGCATAAATAAGCAAATATTACAATGGTGGGGTAGAAGGATAATTTCCCAAGTGGCATTTTCTACTATGCATGCTCTACCTACAATATCATGTTCATACACAAAGCACAACATTTACAGAGCCTGTCCTAGTACAGAGTCTGTCCTGGAACTCGCTCTTGTAGACCACGCTGGTCTTGTCTTGAACTCTCAGACATCCACCTGCCTCCCTGGTGCTGGTATTAAAGGTGTGTGCCACTAATGCCCAGCCAGACTTAGCTTTCTATAGTCGGTGCCATGCCAATACAAATATTAACATGGTTGCTACAGACTCCAAGTTTATATAATGTCTAGTTTATATATGTCTTTCTATGACAGGGAAATCAAGAGTTCAAAAAATCCTAATTTAACTCAAGAAAATTGCTACACTATATCATACTTACTGCCTCTTTAATTTCACAGGAGAAAACATGTATCTGAAAGTCCTCTGAACCATGAGAACTCTCTGTAAATGCAAAGCAGTTGCTCTCCATTGTCCCATCATGCCCACGTGCACAGAATAGCACCTTATAAATTGGGAAAGATGCTATCTCCACATTGCTTGACTGGTCTATGATTCTGAAACAACAAAAAATGAGATAAGGATATCAACTATCAAAAACAAGCCATACCAATATGACATATTTATCTTAAAATCACAAAATGGTTATTAATACAAATAAATGAATTGTCTTCATGTTACTCAAAAAAATTTTTAAATATTTTTTTATTTATTTATTATGTATACAACATTCTGTCTGTGCATATGTCTGCAGGCCAGAAGAGGGCATCAGACCTCATTACAGATGGTTGTGAGCCTCCATGTGGTTGCCGGGAAATGAACTCAGGACCTTTGGAAGAGCAGGCAATGTTCTTAACCACTGAGCCATCTCTCCAGCCCTCAAAATTTTATATATACAAACACACATACAAAATCATTTCATTTTAACAATTTCTTCATTCTTGTTTCCTATGAGCCAACTCACATACTCACCAAAGTCAATTTTATATATATATATAAACTATAACTATATTGTCATATTTATTTCGTACCATATATATATATATATATATATATATCACTCATTCCAAGTTTTTATGTTATTCTGTTAAAAGCAATGCCAGTATAGGGGGGAAAAGACATCGAAGTAGGAGGATTGTTGGGGAAAAAAAGGTTTCAGCAGAAGAAAGGAGGGGCTAAAAAAAAAAAAAAGAAAAAGAAAGGAGGGGCTAGACAAGGATAATAGAGGATGTGTGAAAATACTCAAAACTCAGCATATATATGCATCATATTGTCAAAGAATTTGGGGGTTTTTTTGTGTTTTTTTATTTGTATTTGTTGTTTGTTTGTTTTCAAGATAAAGTCTTTCTATTACAAAGCTATGGCTGTCTTAAAACTCACTATATAGACCAGACTAACCTTAAACTCAGATTCACCTGCCTCTAACTGGGATGTTCACCATGAGCACACCCATTAAAGAACTTTTTTAAAGAAGCATTTTTCAGATCACTAGAAATAAAGGTATGTAAAGGGGGAGCGAAAGAGAAAGACTAGCACAGAACATTCCTAGAAAGTCCATTTCTTTTTTTTTAATATTTTTAATGATTTATCTAACTTTATTTTATATGCATTGGTGTGAAGGTGTCAGATCTGGTGGAACTGCATTTTCAGACAATTGTGAGCTGCCATGTGGGTGCTGGGAATTGAACCCAGGTCCTTTGGAAGAGCAGTCAGTACTCTTAACCACTGAGGCATCTCTCCAGCCCCAGTCCATTTCTTTTTTATTCCTTTCCTTCTCTCTGTATGTGCTTGTGTGTGTTTGTCACAGGGTTTGTATTTGTAGATGTTTGTGTGTGCAGGTGTACAATACTTGAAGAGGTCAAAAGTCGGCCTCAGTTATCAATCCTTAAGAGCTATTCCATGTTACTTTCTTTGTTGTTGTTGTTGTTTAGATCTTTCCCAGCTAGAGTGGCAGTCAACAAGTCCCATCAATCCTGTCCCTCAACATTGGGGTTACAAGCATGTAGCCACACCAGAATTTTTTTTCTTTTAACTTCAATGGTAATACCTCAAACTTAGGTCCTCTGTCTTGTACAGTAAGCGTTCTTGCTCACCTTGTTTGCTGAAACAGAATATCTCACTGGGACCTGTGGCTAAACAACAGCAACCCAAAGATCTGCCTGCCACTGCCTCTCATTTTGAAGGCTTGGGAGACAAAGGAAAGTGACTGCTCTACAAGTAAGAGGACCTGAGTTAGACATTTAGGAAAGAAGAGACTCTGAGTGCTGCATGCCAGTGCAAGAGAGGTCAACAGGTAGCTCCAGAAGCTCCCACAGACTAGCCAGAAAGCCAGTCTAGCAAATTTTGCAAATTCCAGGCCAGCAAGACACTCTTGACTCAAAAAATTTTAATTTAAATTTTTAGAAGGTAAATAGCACCTACAGAATACCACCAGTAGCTGTCCTCTGCCTCCACAGACACCTACATGTCCCCACACATATTTCACACAAAGAATATAGTAACACAATGTTTTCCTAAGACACTAAAGGCATTTTTATCAAAATTTGGGGGCTGGGGCGATGATTCAGTGGTCAAGAACACTGGCTGCTCTTCCAGAGAACCTGAGTTCATTTCCCAGCATCGACATGGTAGCTCACAACTGTCTGTAACTCCAGTTCCAGGGGATCTGACACCCTCGCACACAGACATACATGCAGACAAGACACCAATGCACATAAAATAAAAGTAAACAAATCTTTTTTAAAACTTGTAAATTTACAATGCTACTAGTAGATACTTAGTACTTAATTTACTAGATTAATAATTTGAAAATACCCTCTGCAAGCAAGAACAAGTTCTAAGCCTAAATGTAATTTTTGATTTGCATTGTAAGTCTAGAAAGTGTATGTGAACTCACATTTCAGTCCCACATTTGATTTATAACATACTCACCAACACTCAGAATACTTAATTATACACTAAGAAAAAGAAAGTTTACCTCACAGAACCTTCTGGAACATTGGGCACATACAGTGTAACAGCAAAGGGGCGCTGACTGGAAGCTCTCATGGTTGCCATTGCCCGTAAAGCCTCAACTTCGCTACGTGGGGAAGAAACTTTCATAAATCCTAAGTAGGTCAATTTGTTAAATAGGACACTGTCTTCTTCAGGAAGTCCACTTGGAGAAGACGGTCTGGGTTTGGAAATTTCTGGGAAAAAATAATTAAAACAATCAAGTCACTAGTACGCATTCCAAAAACAAGTCATTTCTTTGTTTCCCTTACCACTGGCTCACTAGCCTGTGTAAACTATTAAGTTTTCTAATGAAGCTGCTTTTCTTTCAACTGATTTTCATGATCACGTCACCCAATTTTCCTCTCTATAAAATGACGGGTGCAGGGAGCAGAGTGAGTACATTTGTAATTCTACACACATTTTTAAAGAACTCATTATTGTTAGATAATATCTATCTGCATGTTAAAAAGAAAATTCATTTTTAAAAACTATAAATCATTTAAGCCATTGTTTATTTGAACTATAAATATCAATATTTAATTATTTTAGTATTAGTATTATATGTATATATGTTGTTATGCATCTCTGTCAAATTAGACATATGAAACAATAAACAAGGTCCTGTAGTAAAAACATTATACATAGGAAAGCTTACTGATATTTCTGCAACTGGATTTCTAAAAATGAAGAGAAAATTTTATCTGTGTAACAAAATATTCATAACTATAGATTCTAAGCACAAAACAATATAGATAAATGGATCTAAAAACATAGACAATAAAATTAGTAAGCAAGATTTAAATTATTAAAAATATGAATAAGGATTTTAATTTTTTTAACAAAGTGAGAAGAAAAATAAAAGGATAACTAAAATATTCTAAATCTGAGTAAAATGGGATCTAAAAATGAATCATTCTCTGGAAGGTTATCAAGCAGGAGATTTTTTTCTATAAAAGAAAAACTGTTGCAGTAAATTTCTTCAACTGAAAAAAAAAACGACCTGAGAAGGAACTGAAAGCACCCACGAAAGACTCTGCTCAAGCAGGAGACAGTATGCAAATGACTAACACTTTGTTAAGTAAATTCCAGGAATATAGGAAAATTAATGTGGAGAAGAAAGAGGCTTAACTAGCAAGAGTTTAAATGTATAAGTGTCTATATTGAAGAATCTCAATTATTAGTTCAGCAGTGGTGGCTCAGGCCTTTAATCCCAGCACTTGGCAGGCAGATCTCTGTGAGTTCAACACCAGCCTGGTCTACAGAGCAAGTTCCAGACTTGTGGCGTGTGCTTATGTTGACACAGGCACATATACATACACACACAAATCTTTTTGTCAATATAAAGGCAATGTTAAACTAACATTTTTCTAGTTTTTGTCTTTTTTTATTTGTTTCTTTATCCCATTTCCTCATATCATCTTTAAGTATCTGGTTCATTACCTGTATTGGATGGATCCAAAACTAACTGAAGAGATGGCTTATTTGTTTGACCGGCTGGAACATCGCCAAAGGAGTAGTCTGAAATCTCACTGGAACCCTGACAATCAACAAGTAGGCTGCTTTGTCCTTTCTCAGAATCTCTCAAAATCTCTGCCATGGCTTTTTCCAACTGTTCATCACCATTGGAAGCTATCTATAGGTAGAACAAGACAATTCTTTTTCAATCCTCTTAATTATGAAGCTTAATTCATTAAAAATATTCATTTTGAGAAACTAAGATCTAAAAATTCAAATATATAGTCAATAAATACTGAGAATTTACCCAGTGATACCTAATTTCACATATCCATAACACACTGAAATCCTGAATGATAAAATCAACTGAATGAAAAGGGGCTTATTAGTTCCACAAAAGAATTCTTCATAAAACACTGCAGGTACTTTCAAATTACATTTGATACAAGATCCTATTGATACAAGACCAGTATGATGGCTCAGTGGGAACAGCAATTTCTACCTACAATCCAGATTCCTTATGGTCAAAGGAGAGAACCAACTCACGAAAACTGTGCTTGAACCTCCACACAATATACGGTATCACACACATACCACATACACACACACACACACACACACACACACACATATCAGAACTTAATTTTATGTGTTTTAAGAGGAAAATGAATGTTTATATATGGTATATTATAAATAACATTTAAACAATTATATTTCTTAGCATCATCCTATAAACATTTTTTAATTTCTTTATAAATTCTTCATTAGCTACCAGAGTGATGCTAATTTTCTTAAAGTTATATTTCTGACTCACTGATAACATTCTGATACCATACTTAATATTAAAAACAGTCATCAATAAAGTAGCACTTGGTTAGTTCCAATCCTGCTTACAAAGAATAGTTACCAATTCCTATGCACATATACCCAGGTTCGTTTGCTTTCTACTCTTTGACTTACAAAAGGCAACCCAAAATTTAAAAGAGAGAGAAAAGAAAAATATCCAAATGAAAATTCAACTGCCAAAAATATAAGATATGCACTTCTAAACTAATCAGTCGACTACTAAATCATCTGCCAGATTCTCACCACATGATTCAAAGCATAAAATACCTAACAGAAAATCTTTCAATTACAACTCAGAAGAGAAACACAATCAAATAAAATTATATAAGATTTAACCAGTAAGTTTAATTCACATATTACTTTTTCTCTAATTTTTCTTGTATTTTTTCCTCCTAGAATTTCTGATTTTCTAGAAGGTAAATAACCAAAAAAGATTTTTAAAAAAAGTTAAAAATCAAACCAAATAATTAGCCTCTGGATAATAAAGCATTAAATATTTTTATTATTATCAAGATCATCTAAAAGAATCAATCAAACACTGATTTTTATTATTCAGGTCAGTACTTTAAGAAACCCTTCAGTTTTCATCCTCACGTGTGCTCCAAATAGTTGAAAGGAAAAAACAAATTTAATGAAAAATGGTACCATATTAGAAAAAGAAAAAACAATACCTTCAGCCGTGGCTTTCCATCATCCTTTGTAGAAGTATCATCTGCATGCTGAGGAACCAAAACAAATTCTTCACTGTTCTCTGTGGCCACAGAATCAGATGACCCACTAACCTTCTGTAATGAAGCTCTGACCTCCATTTCACTTCTGCAAAGGGCTCTTCCCACATCCACCTGGCAAAACTAAAGGGTACAAAAAAAAAGTAAAACTTGATTAAAAACAAACTAGTTTAAAAAATGAACTAAGAAAACTTTATACGACGGTTCATATAAAAAGAATCCTGGCACAGATTGTCTACAAATTAGGGGGCTGTCTTCTTGGACTAGGCCACACGTTGGAAATGCATTCTCCCAACTCTTAACTTTCAGACCAAAAGGATAGTGTTACCTGAAAAACACAAACTAGCCTTATCTCAACCAAAAGTTTACCTCTGCTTAACTATTTTGTTAAGAAATACTGGAGGTTTTATTCATTTGTTTCAACAAACAGAGAAAGTAAGCAAGTGACTAGAAAAAATCTGAAAATTCCACACAAACTGTTCATGCCTGTAATCTCAGATACCCAGGTCTGAGACAGCAAAAACCTTTAAGCAGAGTTCAACACAACAAGAAAAAAAAAAACATAGCAAAAACCATGTCTCATAAAATATATAGTTATTCAGTTACTTTATCAAATCCAAATAAATGCTTTAAAAAATTATCTCCTAAAGGCCAAGTACTATACTTTGAAATATTTGGGAGATCACTGAAACTGACAAATTAATAAAAATTCAACACCCTAAGATATGTCTTTCTTTTCCAGAGATACTAATATTTAATAACAATCAAAAAACTATTCATACATGGTACTGATGTACCAAGTTCAGTCTCAATAATTAAATACAATGAAACTCCATTCTCTTGATAGATCTACAGTTTTACAGAAACTCAAAATTTCTAGACATTCATACATTCGTTCACACAACTAATTCTGAATGAGGATATTATAGCCTACATAACAGACATTGGACCTAATCTTTGGTTACACGCCTAAAGAAAGGCTAGACGGGTAGTCACTGTCCCAAAGTTTAAATACTAGAGAAGGAAAAAAGAGCAGGAAAAGGGGAGGGAAAGGGGAAAAAGAGTTGGGAAGAGGAAGGAGGAAGAAAGAAGGCAAGAGGAAGAGGGAAGGAAAGAGAACAAGAGCGATCATTCCCAATCTAAAAGTTATAAAGAAAGTACAACAGGAAATGACAGAGGAAATCATAGAGTGTAAGAGTAACTTTAAGTACGTTGGTAGAAAAGGAACTCTTAGAGGTAAAACCTGAAAGAAAAAAAAAAACTTAAATGACGTACTTTGTCAATACATGGCAATATGACGAGGGCAGGATAACAGGCTGACCTAATGAACACATAACCCTGCAATCCACGGATAGTCCATAAACAAACAAACAAACAAAAAACCCAGAAATGTTCTTCCAAATACATCACTTTTCGCTGCTCATATAAATGTGGCTGCAATATTCCACTTTGACAGTAGGTGGCACTAAAACCACTAAGCTAGACACACAAAAAGGGGAGGGGATCCAAGTTCAAATTGCACATTTAAATTTTACTTTTAAACTTTTTCAAAAAAAATCAAAATTCCAATGAATACCCACAAAAAAGGATTATACTCCTCAGCCATCTGTCATGTATTGCTGTTATATACTTCTCTTTGTAAAGACCCTTCATTTATTATGTTCTGTGTTTATGAAACTCCAGTATGGGTTTGTCTTGTCTTTTCCTCTTTTAAGTTGCACTTTGAATCCTTACTTGCCAAAGCATCACACAACCCAAGTATCAAATGTGTGGTCAATCGTTCTCCAAGCTACTGTTTGTTATATTTTTCTACCTGATCTCTAAATGTTGGAAGTTCTTTTCCCTTGCCAACTCATTGTAGCCACCATCTCACTAAGCTGAATGAAAAGCTCCCCCCCCCATGTGTCTCTATGCTCACAGTCTCCCAGATTTCTATCCCAATGCAAATATTTTCTCTCATTTCCTAACTTGGAATCCAAAACCATTCTTGTCATTTCCAAAGAAGTTTTATCAGTGTCTTTAAGTCAAATGTGACCAAAGAGAATTTTTCTTTTTCCTTTTTTTATCATGTGCATTGGTGTTTTGCCTGCATCTATGTTTGTGTGAGGGTGTCAGGTCCTCTAGAACTGGAGCTACAGACAGTTGTGGGCTGCCATGTGACTGCTAGGAATTGAACTCAGGACCTCTGGAAGAGCAGCCAATGCTCTTAACCACTGAGTCATCTTTCCAGTCCACCAAACAGAATTTCCAGTGAACTTTCCATCACTGTCTCTCATCCATATTTCTCGTTTTAGTAACTAAGCCACTTTCTACCAACTTAATCAAAGAAAACTAGATGTCACCCTTACTACTTCACTCTATGTCAGCAGGTTATGGTCAGTCCCTCTAAAACAAACCCCTCCTCTATCTACTTCCAGGAAAATACTTCCAACAGAAGAAACAGGATATGTGAGAGCATACATAAAAATTATATTCAACTTAAACTTGAGACTAAAATCATTTTTGCTATAATTCAAACAGAACCCAGCCTTACTAGGTGCACACTCTCTGACTAGAACACCTTAATCAAAGCAAATTCTTTCCCATGTTACAGACTTGACTCTCAGACTACTACACCTTCTACTATTCACTTTCATTCATGCATTTAACACATACTCCATGAGTCCCTACTATGCACCAGAAAATATACTCATTAATAAAAGCATTATCTCTATCTTCATAAAGCTAACATTCTCATTTAAGAATCTAGAAAAAAAAAATCAAGATCACACCCTGATATAAGTACTACAAAAGGTGTATGAAAATGCTACAAGGAAACATATTACTTTGTAAGCTAATTAGAAATTAATTCATTTTAAAAGTAGGTTCTTTTACATTGCTCTATTTCAGTGGCCCCATGTTTTTCATAGCAGTTGTATACTGAAGTCTCTAACTCTGTGAAAATAAACTTTCTCCCAATAGATCAGAATTTTAAGCTGTTTTTATCACAATTTTAAGCAGTAATAGTTAAAAAGGCCTGTCATGAATGTATAACATATAAGTGGATAACAGTCTGCTTTTATCATTAACTACTATAAAATACAAATAAACCTATAAAATATTAAAATTTATCAAAACACAGACACACAAACATTAACAGACCATACACAATACCATTTCAAGAGAAATGTATAAACACAAAGATTCAATTATCATAAGTGTGTAAAATGAACTGTAGCACACACTATAAGCATAACTTCACAACAGCCTCCTATTAGTGTAAGAATGACTTCTGTGAATGTGAACTAATCATCTTCATGTGAACAGTTCGTCTCCACAAGAAACTGCATATGGTATAAGAAGTGATCTACCAACCTTGTGCCAGATGTCAGACCAGAAGCTACCCCCATGTGACCAAATGAAAGAGAAGAATCATAGCAAGAAAAAACACTCTATTCCAAACAGAAAAAGAGAAGTTAGAGTGTCAAAATTCACAAAGGTAGCCACAGGACACCTCAAAAGTTCAGGAAAAACAGGCAGGTGCTCACAGAAAAGAAGCCAAGATGAGCACAGCTCCCTAGAAGGAAATGGGAAACAGGAAAATCCTCCAGAAAGTTCAACACCAGCCTAAACAAGGGAAACACAAGAGCCCACAAACTCAACAGATGCTCCTCAGTGGCCCAAGTACACACAGCCTCCAACCCACAGGAAGCTGCTCCACCACCTCATCTTCCCTTTCTTGTCCCCTACCCCACCCACTGGTATTTCCCCCTGTTTCTTTTTAATAGATTTTAAACAGTAGTTTTGCTTCCTTATAGCTTTAAAAATGTTTTATTTACATATTTTTCATTATTGGGCCATCCTTTGGCTTTTCTTTCCTCTGCCCACCATGTTTATTTTTCTCTCTACTACACGTTCAGTAATTGTTACTGTTGTTTTTCAAAAATAAACAGTAAACCTCTTTTCATTTTTATTCTTCTTCTTACATTTATCTAATTTTTTCTAAACGTTATTATTTAATTTTTCATTTTCAGCTTTTATAAACTCTTGGTCTTTTCTCTTTCACTCTAAAACATCCTTCTCCAACCCTTGTTTAACTTTGATTTTCTATTTTTTTCTTTCCCTTCCTTTCTTCATCTTATTCATTTCCTTCTTACACAATCTTAAATAATCTTTAACATCAGAAAACATTTTTTTACTAGTTGACTTTAATTGTAAACTTGACACAGCCTAGAATTGTAGCACAATTAATAAAAACCCAAAGACAGAAATTGGGGTTCAACCTGAAGGTCAGAAAACTAAAACAGCCAGCCACTGGCTCTTACCTCCACCTCAGTCCAAAATGGCCATCCTGCCTCCAGGAAATGCAGGACTAGACTGTGTGTGAGAGCTGTCTCCTCCCATCTTACAGTCCTCTCTAGTGCTGGGATAAAGGCCTTATACCACTACCAGCAGGTTTGTTTGGCAAACTAGTGTAGCTACTGAGATTAAAGGGGTATGTCACCACTATCTGGTCTGTAAGGCATCACAGTGAGGCTGTTTTACTCTCTTCAGGAAAGCTTTATTTATTAAAATACAAATGAAATATCGCTACATAGAATCATCTGAGAACCCTTGACTGAGAAGTTAAATAGATTAGACTGGTCTGAAGGCATGTCTGTGAAGGACTGTCTTCATTGTTACATGATGTAGGAGAGTCCAGCCCACTGTGGGCTGAACTGATCCTGGGCTGATAAGAAAACCATGAACCTATGTATAAGTAAGCCGGCAAGTTGATTTTTTTTCCACGGATTCCCTTTCTATTTCTTACTTGAGTTCCAGCCCTGACTTTCCCTCAATGATGGGCTATGACCCACAAATATATGCCAAATAAACTCTTTCCTCCCCTATGCTTCTTTTTGTCAGAATGTTTTTAATCACAGCAACGGGGGCGGAAGGGGGGGACTAGAATACTATTCTACATTAGTATTCCCTTGGGCTGTGGTCACTAATGATGTATAAGTGGCTTTAATGGACATTAAGTGTATTTCTGTATCTTGCATAGTTTGACACTATTGCTATTATAATTGTTTCCTTTTCCCTAAGTGGTAACAAAGAAGAAGGTCTCAAGTGCAATAAAGTCAGAAGAGATACTGAAGCCTACACATATGCAAATCACACAACAGACACACACACACACAAAAAAAAAAAAAACTCTAAAAGAATTGAGCTACTGGATTCAAAGATACTAAAAATGGTTAAAACACTAAGTGAAAGGTCAGAAATTTACTAGTAAAAATGATCAGTGACCTCAAAGAAGACATAAGCAAGCAGATGACTATAATTCAGGCACTGGAAAATAAGCAACATGAGGGGAGGGGCAGGGGAACCGAACCAAATGGATTAAAATACAAACAATGTAGGTCAAAGAACAAGAAACAGTAAACAACATGGGGAAAAAAATCTGTCATGAAATTGAGATTTAAAAACATACATGTAGGAGCTGGAGAGATGGCTCAGTGGTTAAGAGCATTGCCTGCTCTTCCAGAGGTCCTGAGTTCAATCCCCAGCAATCTATAATGAGGTCTGGTGCCCTCTTCAGGCCTGCACACAGATAGAGCATAGTAGACATAATAAATAAATAAATAAATAAATAAATAAATAAATAAATAAATAAATA